ACACAACATTTACCAGAGAGCTTCTCTCTTTTTTAACACACTGAATGGTGATACACTATATATATCTTGTTTTTGTTTTTAGTAGGCATCCAAGCAAAAGAGAATGACTCCCTGTCACAATTAGTGTAATTAAAGTAAAAAAAAATGTCAAGCTTTTCTTGTGCTTTTTTATTTTTCTTATTTGGCAGATGCTGTGATGACCAACTTCCTGGCAGCAACAGAGTGGGACTTGAGGAATGCAGTTGGGAAGCATTTTAAACAAGAAATAAAACCAATAATTAATAATTTCCTTTAAGTTCACTGTTGGTTGTTTTATTTGTTAAAATAAGTAAACCAACAAAAGGGTTAATCTTTTTTTTTTTATGTTGTCATTTATCCGTAATGTTTTAATGTTAAGTGTGATAACATGCTCTTGATTTGTATTAGATTTTTTTTTCTTTTAAATATCTTATTTAAAATATTTAATTTTTTATTATCTTAAGTTGTTCAAAATTCCAGATTTTTTAATCATACTATTTATATTTAAGTGTATTGTATTTATAAAATGTTATTTTGTCATTAATTCTTTTGCATTTTTATAATTTTGTATTGTCTTACGTTGTCAAATTTTGTTTGGATGGATTGCCATTTTGTTGTCTATTAGATGTATATATGTAGGCATGTATTAGCTGTCTATTTGATGACTAGTCTATTCTTGGGCTATGGTTAGACTATTAAATTTTCACTGACAGCCCAAATTCAGCCTTGTTTTAGCCTAGACCCATATTCACCGTCTATTAGACGTATATATGTAGTCGTTTAATAGCCGTCTAATTGATGACTAGTCTATTCTTGGGCTATGATTAGACGTCTATTAAATTTTCACTGACAACCCAAATTTAGTCTTGTTTTAGCCTAGACGTCTGGGCTTGTGTTTAGACGTCTAATAGACGTCTTTTAAACGCAAAATTGCTTGCTGGGGGGTATCAGATTATTCATCTAATTACAACCCCGAACATCGTATAAGCAATAGACATAAAAGAGAGACTAAATATCGTAATACACTTGAGAAATAAATAGTAAACGTGGTAAAAAAAAAAAAATGTACTCACATTTACTGTTCAGCTTTGAATCCAGCGAAGCATGCATGTCTTTGGACCTTGATCCTCACTGTCAGGATTGTAGGAGGGTGTAGCCTACAACTGGTTAGAGCAGATTACACTTTCTTTAAAAAAAATCTTTCAAAAACTCACTTCTCATTAAAATTGTTGACATCCGCGGTGTGGACAAACTATTTTGATTCTTATTATCATTCTTATTTTAAAATAGTTCACAAATTGCAAGTGATTAGGCTTAAAGACCGCAATTCAGTTTATGTTTTAAGCGATTAAACATTCATCAAAACATTTTGGGTTATTCAGAAAACCACTGGTGCTTTAAACGAATTATTAGTCAATATACTTGTATGAAGAATCTAATGGATTTTTTTTTTTTTATCTCAAAAGAACAATACATTTAAAATAGGTTCTAAGCTCCCATCCTTGTGCTCTTGGTCACGTAGGCTAAATCACCCTCACCCACCGTGTTGTGTGACGCTATACATTACAGAACTCCCAGACATAGGCTATAGTTAGGCTATATATAAGCCAAATTGTAAACATTTTATAAAAGAAATGAAACAATATGGCACTACTCTGCAATATTAGAAACAAAAAATCTAAAAAGACGTATGAAGCACTGTTACTTTTTTTCTTGGTTAATTACATTTTTTACATTTTTACCCGATATCTCTCTCTCTCTCTCTCTCTCTCTCTCTCTCTCTCTATATATATATATATATATATATATATATATCTTTACTTACTATGTATATGCACTTTTTGTATACCACTTTTATTTATTTATTTATTTTATTTTTTACATTTTCATTGCTACTGGTAACTGCATTTTGGCATCATCCGCGGGGGTATGAACAGGTAAAACCGGTAGTTTAGAGACAAAGCTGAATTTCTTTTTTGTTTTTTTTTCCATTGAGGTGGCAGAAGCTTTCGGCACTCAGATGCTTTGATGATTCCGATGTCAAGAAATGAAGTCTTGTACAATTCATTACATAATTATCATGATTTATAGACCTCAATAAATACTGGCTTACAAGATATACGAGGAGACTCCTGACGCTCTTATCAACTGGGTAAGTTTTACCTTTTATATACTGCGATCATTGTTAAACTGATTATTAGTAGCTACTAGTCAATTTGTAATTAAATTCGAACAGTAAAACCAACCATGTTTTTGCCTCTGAAATTTAATATTTGTAACTGTCCTATGTTTCCATCACCCTGTTTTAATGCGCATTTTGAAGTATCGCATGAGAAACGAGTAGCCTAATGGAAACGCCAAATTTCTAATTTTTTACGCTCGCTTTAGGTGGTTTTTGACTTGTGCGAAAAAGGGTTAATGCGAATAATGGCAGATGGAAACGCATTTTGCGAATAAATCCCGCATGAGCGTTCAAAAGAAGTCATGTGGCTTTGCGCTATGGGACAGCATAACCTGACTAACCAGCGGACCGATTTAGTTGCACAGCATCTGAAATGTTATCATGGTCTTTCTGACGTGCCCGAGCAAAGTCTGTCGACAAAGTATTTCTGTATAACTGCCTCCCAGAACGGTCTACCACGACTGCGTTCCCAAACAGCTGACATTCACCTCGAAAGCAAGACCGCATTTGTGTTTCATCTGCTCACTCAAAGCGCAAGTAATTTATTATATTTGAGAATTATTCCTCCCAGAACGGTCTACCACGACTGCGTTCCCAAACAGCTGACTTCACCTCCGAAAGCAAGACCGCATTTGTGTTTCATCTGCTCACTCAAAGCGCAAGTAATTTATTATATTTGAGAATTATTATATTCAGTGGCTTCTCCTACTTATATTTGGTGCCAGTTTATCAGGAAGTGACGGTTTTGTTCGCTCTGACTCGTTGGATGGAAACAGTGCTTGTTCGCAAATGTTTTATGCGATATTCCAATTTTGCGCGTAAGTTAAATTCGCAACTTTGGATGGAAACCCGGACCGAATTTAAGAACCGGTTTGTGTCAACCCGTATCGAATTGAACTCTTCTATTGGTAAAACAGTTTTAAATCTCTGTTTTTATTTCAGCATTATTTTTTGTTTTTAATAGCTTATGTAACCGAATTGAAACAAGCGATAAATCTGAACCCGTTTAATTAATTAACCTTATGACGCATTAATTATTAAATCATGACGTAAAATAAATCAAATATGTTGTTGTTGTTTTTTACACCAAAACAATACTTGACTTAGTTAAATCACAGTGACACCTAATTTGTACATTTAAGTAGGCTACAACTAAAGGAGTCGAAGTAACATTTCATTTTTTCTATTACTTTGAATTGAATTATATATCTAAAATCGAGTTTAAAGTCTGAGAACTCATACAATCAAGCAGAAAAGACAGAAATTACCGTGGCATGTTATAACTTATAGCCTACATGATGTTGATATTTTGCGGGACGGTAGCTACAGAACACAGAAACGTGCCTTTTGAAGATAAAAAAAAATATAATGTTAACTGATGCGTTTTTATGTCTTTTTTATTACATTTTATTTGTTCACCAGGAACAAGACGCAAGCACGCACAAGATGAACATCTTCAATAGACTGACGCCTCTTATAATCACCCTCCTTTTGAGCTTCATGACCATATTTTTTTTGTACACCCCAAACCCGATCACTATTACCATAGACTCCTTTGATGATTCTATCTTTGAAGCGTCATGCTCCTGTAAAACTTGCGTCATGGGCTTTATGGACGATGACTGGTTCGTTTATCGATACGATCCCACCATTCCAGCTCTGCTCAACAGAAAAAACAGTGCGTTACGTCGAGACACCAACAAATGGTGGAGGGTAAGATTTTAAATATTAAATGCTAAATATTGTCAGTATTTCAGTAGTAATCAAATACTTCAGTCTCGAGTAAATGTAGAACTAGTTTATGTGTCTGTGTTTTATATGTATGTATGTATGTATGTATGTAGAGAGAGAGAGAGAGAGAAAAAATATGCTTATAATTTTGCTGTAAGCTACAGCAGTGGCGTCAATCATGGGGCCCCGCCCATAAACGGTGACGACATGTGTTTGTATCGGGGTATAACTTGCATTTATAAGTTTTCAAATAAAACAATAAAAGAAAAGTGTTTATTATAATTGTGACACAGCGCCCCTTGTGAATTTCTTTTTTTTTTTTTTTTTACAATGGCAGTTTTCAATTTATGAGTAAAATAAAGTATTTTAACATTACTTGAAGAGACTTTCACATTTTGTTCTACAACCAAAGCATACCTCAAAAGTACCTCTTTAATTTTATTTTACTTGTTCTGTGCCAAAATGACAGCTTCGTTTCTAGATTTCTGCATGTACATCTTGATAACAGTATAACATCCTGAAACTAGTCATGCGGTCTGTGAGGAACGCCCTAGAATCATGTTGAAATTCTCGATGTGAAAATGAAGATACAAATCAACAGTCTTATCTTGATGGTCTTCACACGAAGTCAATATTACGTAAAGCAGTTTGATGTTTATCTTGATCTTTCAAATATTTGTGCAGGGTCTACAATCATCAACACCCAGAGTTAACTACACAGAGGTGGTGGATCAGCTGTTTTCTCTCTTCCCCGATAAGGAGCACTACTCAGATGCCAGTCCAGATCGCTGCAGAACCTGTGCTGTGGTGGGAAACTCGGCAAACCTTCTGGGATCCCATTATGGGTCTCTCATAGATTTGCATGATGTTGTCTTTAGGTACTAGAAGAACAGATTATTACAGAGAATAATCTGATAAATGTTCTCTACAACAGTGGCTCTTCTTTAGGAATAATTCTTTAGATAGCCTATCAACACCCATTACCTGTGTTGTTCTCTCAGGATAAATAAAGGCCCGACAAAAGGTTATGAGAAGGATGTGGGGTCTAAGACGACTCACCGGATTCTGTATCCTGAGAGCGCTGTGGACTTGGACAACTCCACCCATCTTGTCCTTTTTCCCTTTAAGATTCGTGACATGCAGTGGCTCATAAGTACTTTCACCACTAGACACATTACACGGTGAGCAGTTAAAAAAAAACAGTTAAATAAATATGAAATTATATATTTGCATAATTAGTAAGCCATCTTTTTGTTCTTCAGCACCTACACACGAGTCAAGTCTTCAGTCAATGCAGACGAGAACAAGGTGAGTATCCATGTCATAATGAAATTTATGTTCAAGAGACGGATTATTAAGCCTTAAAATAAGCAAACGTGTATGTCTCATAAATGTTTTTGATTCTGTCTGTTCAGGTGATGATCCTCCACCCTGCTTTCATAAAATACGTCTATGAGAAATGGCTGCTGAAACATGGCAGATATCCATCTACTGGCTTCATTACAATATTATTTGCCCTGCATATCTGTGACCAGGTAAAACTGTTTGCATTTTTCAGTTTAGACTTCTAATTTGTGAAAGACACATGATATATTAAAACAAAACAAAAGGTACACATTAAGCAGAAATGTAAATATTTGCCACCTAAAAGTGGCCCTAAAATCATTTGCATGTGCACACAAAATTTGATTTTAACGATAATCTTCTTCTTAAATAACATCAGTTTTATTCAAATTTGGGTTACATGGGCTTTTCATCCCATATGACTTTCAGATTCAATTTTCTATTATAAATGGGTTAGAATTTTTGCATATTTCCAGAGAGATTATTGCATTCAGATAGAATTGTTGCATATTTTCCAGATAGTTCCAGAATAGATTTTGTGCCACAAATAAATGTGAAGAGATTAGACTCGCTTAGAGAGACCAATCTACTTTGAGTGTAAACTAAACGAGCCAATGCACATTGGCATGCGATTATTGCATCCAGCTGCCGCGGATCACAGCGTGAGTATAAGTAGGCAGCAGATGCAGCGCATATTCAGGTTTTCGCTGAGGAGCCGAGCCGGTGACCCGGCCGCTCAGTGGTGGTACAGGAGCTGTGGCGATGGGACGTGATGTCTCTGTTCCCTCCTTCAGGGAACGAGGGTTAACATACGTAACCGAGACGTTCCCTTTCAGTCGGTCACTCTCAACGTCACGTCGGATGACCGACGAATTGGGATCCTCATAAAGGGCCACAGGTACTGCCCCTTCCAGTGTCCTGTGGAAGCCACCTGCGCCCCTACTTTTTGGCATAGGCCAGGGCTTGCACAAGAGGACCAGCTACTGCTGCTATGGCACTACCCAATGAGTAAGACGGATAACACTGGGAAAACGTACCCG